ACAAAGCTAGAACCCTCTTTAAAAAATTGTATACTGTTTTTAATCATGCTTTAATTGCACAAAATTATGTACCTGTCCCAGGACATACTAAGAAATAGCAGCAATGAAATTTGGCAATAAGATTTTTGCACTCAAACTGCCTTATAACCAAGCAGCAAATCTTCACAGTACATTTCAGACTTCAGTAATTCCCAGGAAATCATGCTGCAAATGCAAATAATCAGACTTCTAACGATGAGGCTACTGGTGTCCAGAAAGAGCCATCCAATTCTTAAAACCTCAGAAGTAGCAGATACTTGCTAATTTTTCTGGACTTCTGAAATTAATCTACAGATTTCTTGAATCTGAGACTCAAAACCAGTTCAACTGAATGATCGCTTCCAAAAACATCAGCCTGCTATGTTCAGTGCTACAAATGGCAGGCTTTCAAAAAGATCTATGATTTACCAGATCTTTGACTATTGTACCACGCATTTGGGCCACCTCTTTCGTAAACAATAACTAAACTGATTCCACCCCAGTTGAAGAATTCTCAAGATACTGTTTGTTGACATACAACTTCTGTTCAATTTTACTCTTATTTAATGCAACTTTTCAAAGAAACTGAATCGGAGGAAGTTTCAATTTTATATACTCCAACCAGAGGACTGTCTCAGGAAGTCACCAGATAATCTTTGTTTAAAATGAACAAACATGCCACCTACATTTTTCTATCATATAATAGGCCAGGAAAAGGAAATATACCCCCCCCCCCAAAAAAAAAAAAAGAAAAAATCATAAGAGCAATTAGAAAGAGATAATCATCATCATCATCGAGGACAGTAGAAATTTCACTGTATGAGTAGGTAAGGAATTATGTTGTTATTTTTGTACACTGGACTAAAACCAGATACAAACGAACATCACAGGATAAAGCATAAAGCGTATTCCCTGGGAATGCTGCATTCTCAAAAACCTCTAATTTGCTTACAGAAAATTGATACAAGAGCTCTTTTAGAACTGAATTCCTTTTAAATTAATTTACTGATTTAGTAAAGTTAAGCCAAAATACAAGTATCCCTGCAATCCTAGCCAAAAATATGTGTTTCATCAGTATGTCTGCAAGCACAAATACTCTATAAAATGGTATAAGGAGTTGTATAAAATGAATCAATTTGCTACCTAAATAGGATTATAAACTGGACTTCTCAAGGAAAGATTAGAAGAATGGAATTATGCTGTACCTATGTACCTTTGATATTAACTAGTAATCCATAACTCTAATCCTTAATTTACTCTACTGTAATTCCACTTTTATCATATATATAAAAACAACTGGTACTGTCAACAGTTTTGCTTAAATTTAAAAATGAAGAAACTATGTTCTACAATGGCAGAAAATACCAACTGTATGAGGGAATCAGCATTTTCCCTTTGCCACACAAACCATTCGGGTCGGGCTATGAGTAATTAAGTGTCCAAACTTGGGGTGGAGGAGTAGATATGCAAAGAACTGTCTAGTTGTAGTAGCTGCTCTTGCTAGGCTGGAATATTTACAACGGTGCTGGCAGATGGCACTTTTTACACAAACAAGATAACACACTCTATCTTCATGGATTAAAGGCAAAATAAAGACATCCACTATCATAATTTTCAATTTTTATGACTCTAGAGAAGAGAAATTGCATTGCTCACGAACACAAATGGACACAAAGACAGGCTGCAAATTTTTGCGTTTCATATACCTCTCTGAAGGGCTGCTTAGTTTCGTTGTCCAAACACTTTTTGAAAATGAAGTTCTCATTCAGATCCCTGAGACCAGATTATTTTTAGAAACTTGGAACTTGGGCAGTTAGCAGAGCATGGAGGTAAGGAAGCAGATGATTATCTGATGTGCACTGTCATAACACCCACATCAAGACAAACCACCTAATAATTTGATACCACGCTTCTACAGGCTGTCAAACTTCTACAAGATGTGGGTTTTACCATCACCTCTTTCAGACACTTAAAGGCCTTTCCCTCCCCACCACCACCAAGGAAAAGCACACCATTTCTGAAGGAAGAACTAAGTAATCCCTCCATATTCGCAGATACTAGGTAACTCCCCAGCATCTACAAATCTCATTTATAATAGTTTTGCACCATAAAATTAGACTTCAGACAAGAATTTTCTTTACTAGCTGTTATGCATAACTCCAAAATTGTTGTTGAGTCTGTAAGTAACTATCACATCTATGGTTGCCTTGTCCAAATCAAAGACTCACTTGGGATCACAGAGTGCGTAACAAAACTTCAATATCATATGTTTAGGAATGTAAACACGAAGCCTAAAAGAACCACGTTAAACAAGATTAAAAGTACAATCAACCCCATGGTCCCTGTTCCAGCCAACCACAGTATATGATACCTAGTATAAACTCAGAGCCTTAAAAGTGACGACTGCTCCTTTGTCCCCACTGTTACAGGAAGGTGCCTCAGCACCTTGCTCCTCCGGAGGCGAAAGGCTTTCTTCTCATTCCCAGTCTAAGCTCATAGCCAGCCACGTTTGTAACACACTGTCCTCTCTCTCACCCTGCTTTTTCCAGTATTACTGTTAAAGCATAGATACTTTGGGTCTCTTATGTCTTCTTTTCTTAAGAAAAATCAATTCTCCAAATGTAAGGTACTTATTTAAAAAAGCAAACAAACAAAAAAAATCTTCGCTGCCAGACCTGCAATTTTATGTGTCAGTTCTTTCACACTTCAGAGATGAAGATTATCTAGACCTTCCCAACTTGCAGCAGCTGAATGTAGCATTTTGCTTCATTTTCGTTTGGTATCTAAGCTGGAGGAAACATAATAATGATTCATTTATTTAGTAAAAGTGCAGACAAAACCAATTGGAGACCATTTTTACGATTTCCAGTGAGGCAGATGTGTTGCTTCTGGTAAGGATGAGAGGCCAGATAGAACCGGTGCTTTTCAGCAGCCAGAGTAACGCTTACCAACATCACAGCCTGTCCCCACGTAACATATTACCAGTACCGATGCCTTTGTTTTGCCAGCAGGTACAAAGAAGTGGCTTTATCCTTTTAGGAAATGAACGGTTCAGTGCCCAAGAAACTACTACTTCAAAATACATCCTCCGAGCTGAATTTTTTCCAGCAAGTTTATGAAGCTCAATTCAAAAGCAGAAACATCTCTCTTCTTCAAAGAGGATATATTCCTATGTGCAAGAGCAGGATTGCACCCATTTCTTTTGAATCCATAGAAGATTTTAGAAAGTAAGGATGAGAAAGAAAAAGTTGAGTATGTTTTAAATCAGTTCTTACATGAAGTTCAGTTTGTCTCATTGATTTTTTTTTTTTTTTTTTTTTTTTTTTTTAAGATAAACATAAATCATCTTCACAGGGGAAACTTCAGTAGTTGGGATCAATAAAGCAACTGGCCTTGCTCTAGCATACATACTGAGATTCATCATCTAAAATCATGTTATCTCTTATTTCTACATTCACAGATTCCTGGCAACCACAGTTTCGGAAAAAGGCTGCAGATAGGAGCTCCTTCGCTTGGGTGCCATAAGCCAACGAATGGAGAAGCAAAGACGAACCTGTCTCTTTCTTTCAATCAAATGAAAATGAAAGATCAGTTCTCCAAAATGTATAGGAAATCTTTAAGTATGAATAACATGTATTTTCACCCTCTTCTCCCTCCCCCCTCCAAAAAAAAAAAAAAACCCAAACAAACAACACCCAGAACTGCAGGGAGTTTAGGAACTCGGCAGACTGAAAATACTTGATCCCCAAATTGTAAATGTTTAGCAATGTTCCCTAGCCACCATTCTCTCTCTCTCATTAAGGTGTTTCACAGCCACTTCTCTCTTCTTTTTCTAAATTAACAAATGGCCATTTCCTTTGGCAACAGAGAGTGTAATGACTGCTTCCTACCATAGCAGCGTGAAAGATGAAGTAAAACAGTAAGACTCAACAAAATAAGAAGAAACGGAAAAACTGTAGTTAAAAAGAAGGAGGAGATTGAAGATTTCTCACTGTCAAAATTCTGTGCCAGACTTGTGGTGCATTGCTTGTACTCACTGTAGCTGCAAAGTATCAATCTGAGTTCATGATTCTGAAAGACCAGAATTGATTTTCCTCCATGGAAATTGTTCCTTCTTTTTTACTTTCACACTTATTTTAAAAGAAAAAGGTTACCTCGGGGGGGCAGAAAGCAAGGTGTATGCTTGGTATCAGTTCTCACCCATGCAGAGAATAAATGAAACTCAGAAGATCTACAACTACTTTATATAGTCTAAAATTATATGGATAGCTATTATATTCTTATGATTTCTAGAATTTATCCTTTCATATGCATTTTAAATACTCAGTCTATTGATGTAACAGTATCTTAATGGAGTTTATTATCATTTTTGAGTCACAGAAACACTGAGAACAAGGCATAACAACATAATGTTCACCTGCAGTTAGTCATAATATGAATCAAGCTCTTTATCATCACTGTCTCTCACTTATGCCTCATGATGCAACAACCTTAAAACTTCTATTTAGAAATAATTCTGCATAAACACACAAATAACATGGAATAAGATGCAGAGAGCGCTACAGTGGAATTCAGTTAATTAGCAATCCAAAAATTAGAAGCAATGATAAGGAACCCCACGTTCTCCAAAGATGTACGTATCCTGATGTATGTGTCCTGTACAGCAGCAAATAGCCTCTCCCCACATTTTCCAAGCAGTGGAAGATTGTTACAACTGATGCAGACCGATACACACTGTCTGTGTTTTAAAAACGTGTGACTGTACAAGAGTCACGTTTTTGATTCAACATTTATTAGTGACATGTATTACCAGTAACAGCTGCCAATTTTTCTTTACAAAAATCAACACAAAGCTCAAAAAAACCTCCCTTTAATACATTATCAAGTGAAGAATTGGGATTCTTTTCTGGTATGTAAACTCTCTGCCAGACTATTAACAAAAGGGCAAATTCTGAGACCTTCATTGAAAAACTGCTATTTACTAGAGACAAGAATACAGGAAGATAGGCAGCATACTTGTACGATATGTTATCGCCAGCAATATATTTGTGCTGATAGAAGTCAAAGCCAATCTTCGCCATCCTTACTCAAACACTTGCTAACAGAGAAGACAGAAAAAGGCTGCTATCCTATCACAAGTTGTTTGCTGGCTAAATTTAGAAAAACAGTTTGCTACTTAAACTGGGCAAGCTACAGTTGCAGATTGAGGCAAAATAAACATAGAAGCTCACAATACAATTTTATAGCTTTTTTTGAGAAGAATTACAGGTAGAAGAGCAAGATTGATCTCTAAGCTGTACACTGGACATCCCACAAATACTGAAGTGCTATTGGTTTGCCTACTTGAGTAGGTATTTAATGAACAGAACTACTATGTTTTCATTTCATATGATATTCGATTAATCTCTCCGAGTTATATTTAGCCCTAGATTACACTGCCTGCCTTTCACCTTGTTCAATCAGAGCTGCACATCAACTGAAATTCTGTCCCAGTTGTGCATGGCTCCAAGAATTTCAGGTTTTTGCTGTGTGCTATCAGCCAGCAAGTCCAAGCCAAACCAGGCAGCAGAGCCAAGGGGACATGGGAAAGTCACCCACGGAATGTGCTGACACAGAGCACGCTCCAAGGGTCCTTCACAGAAAAGGCACCCACAAAGCTGATTCCACAAAGGCCAAATCTCGGCAGCAAGTCATCATCTCCAAAAGGCATGACGACTGGGAGAGCACGGGGTACCGAAACACTTCACTGAAGCCACTGATGCACACGTCTGATTCAAACATTACTTCAAAAAGACCAAGGTAAGACAACCATCAGAACTGAGAATGCACGCATGTACGGCTTGTCAAATCCTTGAAACAACAATTACATATTTTCAACAAGCCATACAATACCCTATGCACCTTACAAACATCATCCAAGATCCCAGCGCAAAGCTATTATATTAAAAAACGCTTAGACAGAGGTACGAGAACAAAACAAAGGCGGCTCTCCTTACCAGCACTTCTGCTATGTCATAAACAACAGGTAGGTCTCTATCATGGAAGCAATGATGCAAGCCACCATTTAGGAACCCCGGCTGACTGGTGTGACATAATGTCTGATTTACCACTCCACATGCGCTCCTTGGGTCTCAGCTGCACCACCACGGGAGCATAAAGATAACCTGATGTAGGTTTTTAAAACATCAGAAGGAAAGGACAGAAGAAGCATCTGTTAAATCCCTTTACTTAATAATATCTTGCACTTGTAAATTATTTGGCAGGACAAAATGAATTGATACAAATTACTTCATTTTATCATTTGAAATACAGTTACTGGACACTCTCAGAAAACCACAGAGTCTCACATAGGTATAAACATTATTTACTTTAATGATTACTTTGCAGCGCAAAATCCTTAAGCTCCCATGTTTGTACCTCACAAGGTATTTACATTTGTGGTACGTCCAGTGTTCAGTTTTGAGATCAGTCTTGTTTTTACTTACAGTTCTGCTGTGAAAAAGAGCAGAAAATGCATTGTAAAATTCTGTTTATTTTGCCACATGTATAGAGTAGGCTTTTTTTTTTTTGTTAATGTATTTCAAACCATATCAAGCAAAACAATAGGAGAAAAAGGAACTATGTTGGGTTGTGGTAGGAAACCACAGCCATCAAGTTTTTTACTAGAACAAATCAATACCATGATATCCCCATATTTACATCACTACCTATTATTATCATCATTTCATCCACACGCTTACCAAGAACCCACAAAAGTAACAGCATTAACCTACTAAAGCAAACAGAATGACTATTTTCCCACGCCTAATCAAATTCTTATTTATTTAAGAAAGCAAATTGCTTAAAAAAAAAAAAAGAGGACTGCTAATCCTTTATCAGTAAAACAGTTTACTGATAAAAGTACAGTTTAACAAAAGCACTTTTATTAATAACAAAGTAATACTGAAATACAGTATCCTAAACCATTCAAAATTCAAGTATTTGTATAACCCATATGACTATAAAGAGAGTAGCATAAAAAGAACGGCAGATAAATACGATCTGCTCTGAAAATAAACTACTCCACTACGCAGCAATTGGTTTTTGCACGGTTTTAACACAATTTTTCATATCAAAATTAGACTGTTAATCAATATTGAGAGACAGTTAATCAATATCAAAGTGTTTAAATATATCCTGAACCTACAAACCTTTATACAGGAGTTGTCCCATTGGGATAGAAAGGATGATTCATACCGTTCACGTTGTTTCCATGCATGGGTTCCTTGCAAAAAAAAAACAAACCCAAACAAAACAAAACAAAACCAACAACAAAACCAACCTAATACTTTATTAATTTGCATATCTAAAACTATTTAGGTTTTAGATCCCGATCTAATTTCTCTCATATTAACTGTTTACAGAATTACAACATAAACTATATCCACTTGGAGTGCTAAACACAGACGAGTTTCTCTTGGAAAATTTTGCTAAGAAAACCAAATGGAGAAATGAAGACAACTCGCTTCAAATGACCAAAAACATCTGCACGTAGACTTCATTTTCCACAAATCCTACCATACTGGTAATTTTACATATTTGCAACCGTTGTTAGGTTGCAACTCTTCAAAATATTAAATACAGAGAAAAGAAAATCCAAATGTAAATGTATCTGTTCAAGCAATATTCTGCTTTAACATAATGATTTTACATAATCATCAATTACATACTTTGTGTAAAGCAGATGAGGAAAGTGAGGAGATACCCATGCTATTGCCTCTGCAGCTCTCACCTCAGCCAGTAGCAGATAAAGCCATGCCAACAATAACCAAAAAAAAAAAAAAAAAAAGCAGAAGACAAACTTCAAACCCTTATTGCAGAGGTTGCCAGTCCAAATCCTGGCATTTCATCCCAACACGCCCTTCATTTTTAACTTCACTATGTCACAACCCACTCTTTTCCATAAGATTTAGTCTTAGCTCTCACAAGTCTTCAGCCAGGAATGGTAATATATGGTCGTAGTGACCCAGACAGTAAGAAGGGCTATAAATTTACAACAGCAAAAATAAAACATTGAATTGATAACAATTTCTCCCACGAAATGCCAAGGGCAGGCCTGATCTAATGCCCATATAAGTAAGTGAAAGATGCCCACATTGAATCAGTCTCCAATGAGCATAAACAAAGCTGAGATACAAGCACCAGGGGGGAAAAAAAAAAAAAAGTAGACTTCTATCCATGATTTTTTATAATTTTTTTTTTTAATCAAGCTTAAAGGGATATTAAGGGATATTTTCAACCTGCAGTTTTTGAGAATGGACTGCTTTTCTTTTCCCTCTTGATACTTATACAGGGCTTTTCAACAAAATGTGGGCTGCTGGGCAAACTGGCCATGCAGGAGTAAACAGAGAACACGGATGCCAATGGCTGGCACATGAACTATACAAATAAACTGAAAACTAGATTAACTGTTTAAAACACTTTTCATTTTCAATAATAAACTCATATTGTCTAGTTTTAGTAGCACACTTTTTCCAACCGAATCGACTCTGCAGCACTGGTCAATCATATCCTCCAATACTCTGCTCATAAAACTCAGTTATTTTTAATGTGATGAAAATAGTATTTTCAGCTTGTCTGCCCATTACCATGAAGTGTCTGAAAAAGTTCATGAAAACATCTATTCGGATACCCGAGGTGCCTGTGGCAGAAGCAGTTGTATAACGACGGTCTCCCCTTTTGGTTTTGCTAGTTCAGCAGCCCTGTAATGACTGTGTTTTTCAATATATTGTTTCAGGTACAAACAGAGAGAATACGTTCAAAACAGAATGTGGATTGGTTTGGCAGGTGCTAACATGCAGTGGAAAAGATATGAAATAGAAATCTTGTTACAAAAATAAATAATGAATAACGCGGCAGCAAGCATGATCTCATCAAAGTCTTCATCTGAACGGAGCATAGAGGCAAAGACCAGAAGGCTCTTGTGTGACATTGTTATCTAAAGTCCTGATTAGATTTTCACCTCAGAGTTCTCAATTTTGGTAGCAATCATTGCAAAGATACTATGGTGACTGGAACTCTATAAATACATCACACAGGCAGGTAACAGTCTAGAAGACGGCTATCAGATAAGAGTTTGAAGCATTTGAAAATTCAACCCTGCCATTAGGTCTGTGTAACAGTACTCAATTTTACGGCAGTAGAAATGTGATTACAGATAAAAAGGTAGGATTAGTGCTGTACAAATTCTCCTCCTCTTAAATTAGATTATCATCATTCATCAGCATTAGTTAGGTTTTTAGGGAGTGTCAGAATTCAACAAATATATAGGCATGTATTAACTGTAAATTTAATAAAAGCCTGCAGCACAACCCAAAGGTCACAGTCTGATTGGCCTCGCTTTGCCAGACACTGCACAAAACTGCAACAAATGAGTCACAACTTACAGTCGACACAAGCTACTCTCATCTCATGTATCTGCCAAAGAATATAAGCTGTTATTTCCTGTGTTTCTATTTTAGATTTTATTAGAAATTCATAATAATTCATTACAGGGTTAGGCTGGACTCGGTACCTCTGCATGAAGTACAACATTTGATGCAGGCGATGCTATGGGAATGAGGCTCTTGTCATCCCAGTGGATTTAGTCAGTATTTCCTCACTCTAGAGCCAGATGTTTTAGCGGGTGTCCATGTCCATGGCATGCACACATTAGAGTTGTGATTGCTACAAATTATCATTATTTTAAAACATACCCACTAGTCATTTCCACACATACCATAAGTACTCCAGATTACCTCTAAGCGTTAAACTGAAACTCTTCATATATTACCGTATGTTATTACAAGTATCTTACTAATACAATTGTAACCCGATGTAATGAAAAATTCCAAAAATATTTTTAAAAATCGACTTCTACTTAGTATACTTTGTATACAACCAACTCCTTATGTCTTGATAACAAATGGCACATTCAGTATAGGAGCTGCATTATTCGCGCAACAGAAAAATGGTACCCTGCACAATGCAATTAGTATCACCATTATACAGGCTCATTCTGAGCAACACAGGTTCTTGCACAGTTGCTGCCTTTGGCATAGAG